CTATGTGAAAAATACATAAAACTACCAATTAACAAAAGAAGCTGCGAAGTAAACTTTTTACTGTCGCGGTTCAGAATTCTCTTTGCTGAACTTCTCTGTTTCCAAAACACCGGGACTGGTGAAATAGTCTCTTGAAGCATCTGCAACCTGACAAGAATAGCGGATAATGAAAATTATTTCTCGAAGAACAATAATCACTTGACTCTGACTATGTCAAAATTTCTAAAGTAGATTTGAAAACGTCTGAAATTTATGCTGACTGAGTGTCAGTCTTTGAAAACGGAAGCTTTTTAGACAAACATCTTACGTAAATGAAGACACAACAAGGATGCGTCGACAAATTTTTTTTTGAATTAACCTTTTAAACAATAATCACTTTACATTGTTTATCATGAAAGCTCATAATAAACATTATTTTTGTGCATATGGCCATTGCGTTGGAAGAAGTTCTGTCTTGGCGTTGTTTGGAGTTGGTGCTTAAATGCTTAAACTAATGTAGAGGCAGCCTCTTCATTCAAATTACTTTCATTAAATTGACTTTTAATTATTTAATTGCGTCATATTTTTCGACATAACTTACATTTCATTCTTCGTCATTATTACTGCTTGATCGATACCTTTTATTTATTTTATTACTGAATTATTTAAAGATTCTGATTGTCATATCATTCGTTCTACTTACGCAAGAAATATTTAATGACTTCTTTTTGAGTGATATTGTTCAGCAACGAGTTTTGTGTCAACACGAAGGATCGCCTCTATAGCACATTATAACGAGTGCACTTAGAATGGCTGCAGTAACTGAAAAATTTACGGAATGATATTTTGAGGTTCCGTTTAATTAACCATTTTCACACTATGTAGACTTTGTGATTCAATCGCAAATATTATGAGGATCAGAAAAATGGGAAAGAAGATAAAAAAAATATGGTGCAGTATTGTGAAGAATGGTGTTAAACTACTATGGGTGACAAATTTGGTCAAGAATCGCAAAATCTGTTGGCAGGCTACTTTCCTCAACACTTCAGCTATTCGATGTCATGCATCATCCTGCCACACTTCGTGTGACAACATATCTGTGGTTTCATCAACTTCATTTCTATCTTAAGGTTCCTTATTATCACCAAGCTGTTGCTGTTTTCATATTTATCATTTTCTCTAGAAATCTTCCATTCTTTCTAGAATCTTTTGCCTGTCCCTGATGACAATCCCGTCTTCTTCTTTCAGACCTAAAATATGTCCTTTCCTAGCCGTCAACCTTTTATTTATTATTTCTTCATTTCTGGCATCGTCTTGACCGACACATGTCGTATTATTATGTTCAGGATTTCTCGAAGTGCCTTTCATTTCTGTTGCCCTATATATTTCCCTCTTTTAATTTAGAACCTTAATTTTGTACCATTCCTTATTACCTTTCATTGCAAGGTTCATTTCTCAAAGTTTCTAGTTGGTTTAAAGAATGTATGACTTTGAATACTTGCATGAAGGGAAGAAGTTGAAAACACCTTACAAAATTGCTTAATTTTGAAGCTGCGTTGGAAAATATTTTCAAAAAATTTGAAGATTTTGTTTTTCAGGATTAAGTTATTTGTCGGAATAGATTCAGCAAATTCACTGTTTGCTCCACTGACTTTAAAAATCTCCAAGGACAATCCAGTAATTTTGCTGTTGCATATTTTTCCTGAAACCACTTTTATTTTTTAGACTGATTTCAATGAAATCTCAGTGCGTCATGCCTTTAAAAAAATTATCAAGAACGACTGGGTAAGAAAATTTTTTAAAAATCTGTCTTTCGCTTTCAATATTATTCACAATTATTGCAGCTGAACTTTAATCTAACTTTCTTTAATATAATGAGGCAAAAAAACTTTTTGTTGATTTCATGCTCCATTTATAAGCATTCACTGCGTTGATTAACGTCACCATCTTTGTAATGGACAATCGAAATATTTTGACTTTAAATGTACATTGTAGATAAATA